GGGCAGCTGGGACTTGAACCATATGAGACGCCGGCACTGCAGGTGGCAGCTTATTCACTACACCAAAGCACCACCCCCTAAGTGTATCTTTTGTCTGTTAACACCACCCCTTGTATTGGTGAAGTAAACCTTACTCACACTCCACCAGCCTCTTATACACCATACACCACTGGATTTGACTTGCTCCTGCTTTGTTTAGAATATTTGTTCACGAGGGATAGTGACCTGTAAATTTTCTTTCTTGTCATGTGCTTGTCAGACTTTGCGATTGTTGTTTTGCTGGAAACAAATCAGTACCACATTGAAGAACTTACACAGCAGGGTTTATTCTTCACAGTTCTGGAGGCTGAAAATCCAAGATCAAGGTTTGGCGGGGTCAAGGGTAGCTCCCAGGCCTTCCAGCTTCCGGCCATCTCCTGGAGGCATTTGCCCTGTGTGCCCGTCGCGCCCACATCCCCACTTATGGGGCCCACGCTACTCCAGTGTGACCTCATCTTGATGAATCACATCTGCAAATCCGGCCACACTCTGAGGTGTGGGAGGTGAGGACTTCCTGAACCTGGGGGATGCGATTCCACCTGCAACACTGGGTTTGTGGAGTGAGGGAGCAGTGTGATGAGGGCAGAAAATCCTTCTCTCTGTGTCAGTTTTGGTAGATTTTGGGGCTGATGTAACAGTATGGCTAGTTCTCAGTATTAATCCCTTCGGATGTTACTTCTTACCCATTCTTTCATTCTCTCATCTCCTGGGATTCCTGTCCTTGTTATTTTATTTTTTAGTGTTTATATGTTTTCTCTTGACCTTCCAGTTCATTAATACTCTCTGCTGACTTGTCTGATATGTTTTTTATTTATTTATTTATTTAATTTTTGACAGGCAGAGTGGACAGTGAGAGAGAGACAGAGAGAAAGGTCTTCCTTTTTCCGTTGGTTCACCCTCCAATGGCCGCCGCAGCCGGTGCACCATGCTGATCCGAAGGCAGGAGCCAGGTGCTTCTCCTGGTCTCCCATGGGGTGCAGGGCCCAAGCACTTGGGCCATCCTCCACTGCACTCCCGGGCCGCAGCAGAGCTGGCCTGGAAGAGGGGCAACCGGGACAGAATCCGGCGCCCCAAATGGAACTAGAACCCGGTGTGCCGGCGCCGCAGGCGGAGGATTAGCCTAGTGAGCCGCGGCACCAGCCCTGATATGCTCTTAAACCAGCTCTTGAGTGTTCTTAAAGGTTTGTTTACTTGAAAGGCAGAGTGATGGAGACAGGGAGTGAGGAGAGATCAGTACTTGGGCCCTCGTCAGCTGTGTTCCTAGGCACATTAGCAGGAAGCTGGATCTGCAGCAGGGCAGTCAGGACTGGACTGCACTCAGGGGACGCTGGGACCCAGGGGACAGCACCGCAACACCAGCCCCCGGAGTTCTGAGTTTCCGTTAGCTGTGTTTCTCCATCAACGAAGCTCACTGTTGTGTTCTTTCACAGACACCACTGCTCGGGTGAAATGCTCCGTGTGCCTCCATTTCCACCTGCGCTTTCCTTAGCGTGTGGGTCAGATTCGCTCTAAAGTATGAATGCTCCAGCTCTGATCTTGGAGTCACCTCTAGGTCCCTTTCCATCTTCTGATTTTTCCTCTTGGTTTCAGTCCTTAAGTCCTGTTTTTGAAAGGCTTAGTAATTTGTAACTGAGTTGTTTTAAAGACTGCAGTTTCTGCCTGATTGTATCTTCTTGCTTCCACAGATTCCTCCCTGTGCTCTGCAGGCAGAGAGAGGGGTGATTGCTAAGGCTCTGTCTGGTCCACGCCTGTCCCCAGGAGTTCCCTCCACTGGGGCGGGGGGGGGGGCTCATGGATGTGAATTCTGACTTCTCAGTGCAACTGCTATAAGCCACACGCTTGCAACTCTCTATGCCCTCCCACCCCCGTAGCTGAGGCATCTCTACACTCTCCCCCCCCCCCCGTAGCTGAGGCATCTCTACGCTCTCCCTCCCCCATAGCTGAGGCGTCTCTGCTCCCCCCCCCCGTAGCTGAGGCGTCTCTATGCCCTCCCCCCCCATAGCTGAGGCGTCTCTATGCTCCCCCCCCCATAGCTGAGGCGTCTCTATGCTCCCCACCCCGTAGCTGAGCGTCTCTATGCTCCCCCCCATAGCTGAGGCGTCTCTACACTCCCCCCCATAGCTGAGGCATCTCTATGCTCCCCCCCCATAGCTGAGGCGTCTCTATGCTCCCCCCCCATAGCTGAGGCGTCTCTACGCTCCCCCCCATAGCTGAGGCGTCTCTATGCTCCCCACCATAGCTGAGGTATCTCTATGCTCCCCCCCATAGCTGAGGCGTCTCTATGCCCCCCCCATAGCTGAGGTGTCTCTATGCCCCCCCATAGCTGAGGCGTCTCTACGCTCCCCCCCATAGCTGAGGCGTCTCTATGCTCCCCACCATAGCTGAGCGTCTCTATGCTCCCCCCCCATAGCTGAGGCGTCTCTATGCCCCCCCCACCGTAGCTGAGGCGTCTCTATGCTCCCCCCACCCCGTAGCTGAGCCGTCTCTATGCCCCCCCTCCATAGCTGAGGCATCTCTATGCCCCCCCCATAGCTGAGCGTCTCTATGCCCCCCCATAGCTGAGGTGTCTCTATGCCCCCCCATAGCTGAGCATCTCTATGCTCCCCCCCCATAGCTGAGCGTCTCTATGCTCCCCCCCATAGCTGAGCGTCTCTATGCTCCCCCCCATAGCTGAGCGTCTCTATGCTCCCCACCATAGCTGAGGCGTCTCTACGCTCCCCCCCATAGCTGAGGCGTCTCTACACTCCCCCCCATAGCTGAGCGTCTCTATGCTCCCCCCCATAGCTGAGCGTCTCTATGCTCCCCCCCCATAGCTGAGGCGTCTCTATGCTCCCCCCCCATGGCTGAGGCGTCTCTACACTCCCCCCCATAGCTGAGGCGTCTCTATGCTCTCCCCCCCCATAGCTGAGGCGTCTCTATGCTCCCCCCCCGTAGCTGAGCGTCTCTATGCTCCCCCCCCCCGTAGCTGAGGCGTCTCTATGCTCTCCCCCCCATAGCTGAGGCGTCTCTATGCTCCCCCCATAGCTGAGGCATCTCTATGCTCCCCCCCATAGCTGAGCGTCTCTATGCTCCCCCCATAGCTGAGGCGTCTCTATGCTCCCCCCCATAGCTGAGCGTCTCTATGCTCCCCCCCATAGCTGAGCGTCCCTATGCTCCCCCCATAGCTGAGGCGTCTCTATGCTCCCCCCCCATAGCTGAGCGTCTCTATGCTCCCCCCATAGCTGAGCGTCTCTATGCATTTGTTTCTTGCATTCCTGCTCAGCTATGTGCTCTTCAGCCTTTTCGAGTGTCTTCCCTCGCAATTGTAGGCGTCAAGAGTGGGAGTTGGTGTCTCAGGTGAGCGTGGCTGAAGCCACTGTCTTCACAGGAGGTCTTTGAAGAAGTGTACCCATGGGTGTGCCATTGGAGAGACCCCCTTTGCCTGCAGGGCTGAGGACAGATAGGGGACTGGACCTGGGAAAGGGTGCAGGTCTGAGAGGTGTTCAGAGTGGAGGACCTGAAATGCCCAGGTTCACGGAGGCAGCTGGGGCAGAGAGGCTGTTACTCCCTGCTGGGTAGCAGTGAGGCGCTGGCTACATGGGAGGGAGGAGCGGCACAAGTCTCAGGGTTGGGAAGTTTTGGTGGTGAGGGAGGAGGCGTGAATGGGGGGCAGCGTGACTGCAGAGGGCCCATGGGGCAGATGCCGGGAGCTTGAGTGGTGAAGACGTGCGAGTTGAAAAGTTGGAGTGAGGACACAGGGGCACTCGTGTTTTGGGAATTGTTTTTTTAAAAAAGATTTAGTTTTGGAGCCAGCACCGCGGCTCAACAGGCTAATCCTCCGCCTAGTGGTGCCGGCACACCGGGTTCTAGTCCTGGTTGGGGCGCCGGATTCTGTCCCGGTTGCCCCTCTTCCAGGCCAGCTCTGCTGTGGCCCGGGAGTGCAGTGGAGGATGGCCCAAGTCCTTGGGCCCTGCACCCCATGGGAGACCAGGAGAAGCACCTGGCTCCTACCATCGGATCAGCATGGTGCGCTGGCCACAGCGCACCGGCCGCGGCGGCCATTGGAGGGTGAACCAACGGCAAAGGAAGACCTTTCTCTCTGTCTCTCTCTCACTGTCCACTCTGCCTGTCAAAAAAAAAAAAAAAAAATTTAGTTTTGGCTGGTGCCACGGCTCACTAGGCTAATCCTCTGCCTGCGGCGCCAGCACCCCGGGTTCTAGTCCCGGTTGGTGTGCTGGGTACTAGTCCCGGTTGCTCCTCTTCCAGTCCAGCTCTCTGCTGTGGCCAGGAAGGCAGTGGAGGATGGCCCAAGTGCTTGGGCCCTTGCACCCACATGGGAGACCAGGAGGAAGCACCTGGCTCCTGGCTTCGGATCGGTGCAGTGCCAGCCATGGTGGCCATTAGGGGAGTGAACCAATGGAAGGAAGACCTTTCTCTCTGTCTCTCTCACCGTCTAACTCTGCCTGTCCAAAAAAAAAAAAAAAAAAAAAGATTTACTTTTTATTTATTTGAAAGGCAGAGTTAGAGAGAGAGGAGGAGAGACAGAGAGCTGTTCCATCTGCTGGGTCACTCCCCAGGTGGCCGCAACGGCCAGAGCTGTGCCGATCCGAAGCCAGGAGCCAGGAGCTTCTTCCAGGTCTCCCATGTGGGTGCAGGGGCCCAAGGACTTGGGCCATCTTCTACTGCTTTCCCAGGCCATTAGGGAGCTGGATCAGAAATGGAGCAGCTGTGTTTTGAAGTGGTGCCCATCTGGGATGCCAGCGTCATAGGCAGAGGCCTAATCTGCTGTGCTACAACACTGGCCCCTATGTTGGACATTCTCAAAAGTCTCCAATGCCGTACATACCTGAGACAAAGTAAACATTTGAAAAGCATTGTTGGGGGGCCAGCACTGTGGTGCAGTGGGTTAAAGCCCTGGCCTGCAGTGCCAGCATCCTATATGGGCACCAGTTCTAGTCCTGGCTGCTCCTCTTCCGATCCAGCTCTCTGCTATGGCCTGGGAAAGCAGTAGAAGATGGCCCAAGTCCTTGGGCCCCTGCACCCACACGGAAGATCTGGAAGAAGCTCCTGGTTTTGGATCGGCGCTGCTCCGGCCACTGCAGCCATCTGGGGAGTGAACCAGCAGATGGAAGACCTCTCTCTCTGTGTCTACTTCTCTCTGTAACTCTGTCTTTCAAATAAATAAAATCTTAAAAAAAAATCTGTTGAGTGTTTCAGTGCAGAAGGGGCCAAGCCATCCTGTTGCTGCCTGGGAAGCAGTGGCTGGGCCCCACGGAGCAGTAACTGCTCGGGAGCCTGCAGGCTGGGACCAGGCCTCTATCAGCCCTGTCCTCCCGTCTTCCCCTGTCCAGGCATCACCACCATCATCCTCACCCATCTTCCTGCCTCTGCTCAAACCACTTTGTTTGGTCACAGTTCAGACTTTGGAGCTTAGCACCTCCTGCAGCCCACACCTCGCCTCCGTGTCCCTGCTCCGCTGTCACGCCTCTCTCAGGCATCCCTTTTTTCCACCCAGTCTCCCCGAATGCCTCCAGGCTTCCCCCTGGGCTCACAGTTTTGCTGTTTGTTCACTCCTGACGTGCCTCCCCACTAATGTTGAGGTTGAGCCAGGGTCCGGAAGTCTGCAGTGTTCTCTGTCCCTGGTCCTGGGCCAGTTACTGCTTGTGTGGCTCATGCTGTGTGAAGTTCGTTCATTCATTCATTCATTCCATGTGTTTAATTTTTTTTTTATTATTTATTTGAAAGGGAAAGAGAGAGATATAGAGACCGGGAGAAATAGTTTCTGTCTTCTGGCAATTCCCCACATGGCTGCAACAACCAGGGCTGGGCCAGGCTGAAGCCAGGAGCTTCAAACTCCATCTGGGTCTCCCACCTGGGTGGTAGGGGCCCAAGCACTGGAGCCATCGTCCACTGACCCTGGAATGCGTCAGCAGGAATCTGGACTGGATGTGGAGGAGCTGAGACTTGAATTGGCACCGCCGTTTGGGATGTGTTTCAAGTGGCAGCTTAACCTGCTGCGCCACATTGGCCACCCCCGTGTTTGATACCTGTGGTGTGCCGGACTCCAGGCACAACGCTGGAAACACAGGTCACAGCCCCTGTCCTGACGGTGCTTCCAGTCCAGGGATTCTGAGCGAGGCCCTGGTTGCCAGAGCAGAGGCGCCGGGCACCTGTGCTGGGCGAGGTCCAGGACCAGCCCTCCCTGTGGTTTTTAAGAGGGGGGGCTGTGCTAGAGACACGGATACTTTCACAGATGCCTGTGTCATCACCAGTGGGTTTAATTGTGACTTCTGTAAATAAATGTTGACTGAAAATAATTTTGCTTTCTTTGGCCTTAGCTCCCTGTGTTGGTGCTCTGCCTTGACGCCCCCAGGACATCCTGTGGTTGGACCAGTCAGGTGACTGCTCCCTGAGGGGGAGGGCAAGTGCACAGCAGGGGGAGCTGTGGCGAGAGGGCACCAGGTGCTGGCAGCAAGGGGGTTTGTCCTGAGGCTGGGTGTCTCAACACACCTCATTTGGGAGGATGACTCGAGTGGGACTGGCCAGGGAGAGCCGCTTGGCCCTTCCGTGGCTGCTTTGCTGCGTCCCGACGTGATTGGAGGGGGTCTTGATCCCTCAGTGTCAGAGTAGCCTCCTCTTAGGTTCCTGTTCTGTGCAGCTGCTCACACTCGCAGCGCCCAGGTCTCTATCTGTGATGCCAGGCCAGCCCCACGCAGCGCCCAGGCCTCTATCTGCAATGCCAGGCCAGCCCCACGCGGCGAGGCCAGGCAGATAGGGCCTGCCCAGCCCCGGACAGCAGGGGGGAGGTACTGCTTCTCACCTTGCTGGCCTCGTGGCTGCTGTGCCTCCGTCAGCTTCATCAGTCGGGCACTTTCTACCTATCTGGTTGCCCAGCAGCCAGACTGTCAGGTGCTTGGGCTCCCCACGGCGAGGAGCAGCTGCTGGAGACGCCCAGTCTGACCTGGCTGGGTGCTGGGTGCTGACGACTGTGCGCCCCCGTTTGCTTACGGCTCCTCTCTGGCTGCTCCCTTCTCCTGTCCTCACCCCACACCTGCTCCGGGACCTTCTGTCAGTGGAGTCCCCCTCCTGAGCGCTCTCCCTTTGCTCTGGGTTCCCTGGCCTCCTGGCCCAGGCCCAGACCTCCGGCCCCAGCCTCCCCCTCTCAGCCAGAGTCTGTTCCTTCGGGAAGCTCCCGAGCAAAACTGTCCGTGCCGTCCGTATTCCTGAACTCCTCCTCCTTCAGCTTGACGGATGTTCTGTGAACTCCGTGTTGTTTTCCTCTTCAGTGCCAAGTCCGGGGAGCCTGCGAGCTACCTCTCGGTGGGCTCCTTTCTCACCTGTCAGCCTACTTACAGCACTTGCTGGGCCCTGGATGAGGACCTGCACCTGCTCAAGGAAATACTGGCAAAGGGGTGGGAGGACCAGGGGCCTGTGGCCCGCCCTGATGGAGGCATGCGACCGAGGTTAGCCCCTGGGTCACCCTGGGGGCGAGGTAGACTCCAGGAAGGCATGCCTGTCCCTGACCCAGCAGAGAGGCCACAGACTGCTACAGTGCTGTGAGGCGGGGCCCGCTTTGGCTCAGGTTGTGCAAGGTTGGGATTGGGGGCTGAGGGGCTGAGCGGGAAGGCAGCTGGGACAGTCAGTGGGCAGAAGGCAGGGCCTGAGCCAGGACTAAGGAGTGTGGGCTTCATCCTGAGGGTGCCTGGACAAAGGTTTGAGGAGGTGGGTCACGTGACCGGCGGAGGATGGGCAGTACACGGAGGACAGGCCCGAGAGGCAGAGGAGAGGAGGACGGCTTGCTTTGGAGCACAAGAGCCAGTCTGGGGAGGACAAACTCAGCTTTGAGCAGGCCTCGGCTGGGGTGCCTGTGGGCGCTGGGGTGGCGCTGGCTTGGGGTATGTGGGGCCCTTTCATGCCCTAAAGTGCTGCCCCCAGTTAAATGAGTGGTGGTGGGGAGGAGCCTTGAGAGGTTCTCAGGCCAAGGTGGCTGGAAAGTCGTGGGGACGAGGGTCTCAGGGGGTCACGCCCCAGGCCAAGACAGCCAGGCCCCCTGGGGAGGGCATGGAGCTGGCTGACCAGTGGGTAACACCCTAGCGCCCACGGCAGGAGCTAAGTAGCAAGCACAGGGAGGTGTGCGCACGGCAGTCTGCCTGGCTGAGCTGCTGGTCTCGGTTCAGGCCTGGGGCAGCAGCTCCTGTCTGTAGTTTCTTGTGGGGAAGATGGGGAGGGAGAGAACCTTTGTCCAGATCCCTGCCAAGATGGACTGTACGGCAGCCAGGAGAGCCCGCCGGGGCCTGCGGAGCGTGACGGCGAGCTGGGGGTGGGGGCAGTGACCTGTGCCACTTTCCTCAGGCCTGGACAGCAGGTGAGCCGCTCACAGACCCACTGTCCCGCCGAGCTGTGTCCAGAGGGAGCAGGTGTCAGACAGCCCTGCCGCTTCCCAGCGCGCGGCCTGGGCACCCTGTTCAGCTAGCTCGGGCAGCCTCGGGTCCCTGTCCCTCCACTGGGAGTCTAGCACACGCCGTACAGGGTGCCTGGGAAGGTGGCGAGGAAAAGGCAGGCGGGGGCAGAAGCAGAGCAAAGGATCAGCCGCTGTCATGAACCTGCAGTGTTAGTTCTGTGCTCCCGGCAGCAGGCGTGGCCACAGCTGCCTCTCCAGCTCGTGGAGGAAGTGACAGTGAGAAGAGCAAGGAGAAGGCGGAGAGCAGAAGGTCCATTTATTGGGATTTTAGTGACAGCAGGATGGCAGGAAGGCTTCCTCCCCCGAGACATGCCGTCCTCCGCCCTCAGGGCTCAGCACGAGGGTCAGACCCCGCCCCACACATCCCCAGGTAGAGCAGCACTCGAGGGTGGGGTGGGGAAGGGGGGACTCTATGCTGGGCTGGGGAGCTGGGACAGGAGGGGAGACGTGCACCCTCACCTCTTGGCTCGATCCCTCTCCCCAGGGACCTGGTGTTGCCCCCCCAGACCCTGGAGTGGGCTGGCAGACGGGCTTCATGCAACAAGTAGACGGGAAAGGCTCGGACACGCAGCCCCGGAGCCCCTGGTGGGAGGGGGAGGCTGGAGGGGCCATGCTGTGGCCAGAGCAGTCCAAACGGAGTATGTGCAGTGTACGGACAGGAGTGCTGGGAGGGGCTCCCTCAGCCCGGGACCAAAGAGAGGGGAAGTACAGATGGCACCGCCATGCCAGGGGCAGGGTCCAGTCCGCCAGGCCCCTCGAGCAGCGCGTGGACAGCTGGCGGCTCAGGCTACTCCTTGGCACGGCCGATGATGGTGAGGATGTACAGGAAGATGTTGATGATGTCTGTGTACAGGTTCAGGGCTGCAAACACGTACTCCTCTGGGCTCAGGGACAGCTGCTTGTTCCCCAGCAGCAACTGAGTGTCCACTGCCAGGAACTGGGGCGACAGCACGCGGTGTTGAGGGCCTGCCCACCTGGCACGCGGGCCCCCCAGCGCCCAGGGCCAGCCCCCACCCTACTCACGCAGGTGAAGAGCAGGGCGCCCAGCGAGGCGTACACGATCTCCAGGATGCGGTTCCGGATGAAGATGCAGAGGATGGTGAAGATGAAGAGCACCACCATGCTCACCAGGAGCACCCCCATGCACGAGGTGAAGTCGTAGCGGGTCTGGGGGAGGAGAGGGCAGGCTGTGGGCCAGCCGGGGGGAGGCCGCCGGGCCCGGGGCTGCAACCCCGCCCTGGGGGACCCCTCACCTGCATGGAGAAGATGACCACCGTGAAGCACACGGCTGTGGTGATGCCCACAGCCATGATGACCGCCTCCGTGTTGTAGAAGCTGGCGATCATGCCCACCATGTAGGACAGGCTGATGGTCAGGATCGACTGTGGGGAAGAGGGGGCGCGCTCAGCCTGGGGTGCCCAGGCAGCCAAGCCCACACAGCACGTGGAAGCCTGGGGCCAGGAGCTCAGGTTTCGGGGTTACCAGGGCAACGAGGTTCCAGGGGTGTTTTCTCCGGAAATCGCCACAACAGCTGAGGACGATGAGAGAGACGAAGAAGACGGCGTAGGAGACATAGTAGGTCCAGACGTTCTCGCGGACGAAGCTCTTCACGTTGCCGACGAAAGTGAACACGGCCACCGTGGACAAGGTCACCGACAGCTGCAGGGTCAGCACCAGGAACACCTGGGGAGCGAGCGCCTCAGAGCCAGCCCCCACCCCACCCCGGTGCCGCCCACCCCCAGGCCCCGCCCACCCACCTTGCGAATGAAGGCCTGCCGGATGCTCTTGTCGTCCCAGTTGGCCGCGGGGAAGTCTTGGTTGTCGTAGTAGGACGGGGGTCCCTCCTCCTGGTAGTTCCCGTGCTGGGGTGCTGAGGGGCAGACGGATGGGCTCAGCGCCACTCAGAGCGCCCGCGCCCCGCCCCGCCCCGCCCCGCCCCACAACTCACAGTCTGGGTCTTGTGCTGGGAAGGCCTGTGGCTGTCCATAAGGGTTGGGGGGAAAGGGGCTCTGCGGATACGGCCCCTGTGGGTAGCCCCCTTGGGGGTAGGGCCCCTGTGGGTAGCCCCCTTGGGGGTAGGGCCCCTGTGGGTAGCCTCCTTGGGGGTAGGGGCTGGGGCCGTGGGGGTACCCTGGCTGACCATAGGGGGAGGGCTGGAAAGAGGGCTGTGGGTAGGGGGCCCCAGGGTAGGGAGGCTGAGCATAGGGAGGCATGGGGGCCTGGGGACCCCCAGGATATCCAGGGTTGGGTGGAGGGTAGCTGTCCCCAGACACCAAGAAACTCTTTTCATGGGACATGGCTTCGGGTTCTGTGGACTGCCCCTAGAGGAGAGAGAGAGAAGGGTTAGCCATGCCTGTCACCGCAGCCAGCCCCGCGGCGGCCCCACCTGCGGCCCAGAACCCAGGAGGAAGGAGGGCGACCGACCTTTGCCCCCTGGCTGCTTTCGGCCATAGAGCCGGGAGGCCCAAGCTGGCTGCCCTGGGCAGGGGCTGCTCCGGGAGCAGGGGAAGGATGGCTGTCAGCCTCGGGATCCTGAGCCGTGCAGGCGCCCGCTGGCCGCCGCGGCTCCCCCACACCCCCACCCCCAGCAGGGTCAGCTCAGCCCGTTGGGGGCTGGGGGCGCGGCCTGGGATGTGTGGGGGTGTGCCAAGGTCCTCCCCTCCGCATCCGCCCCTTAAGCAGCTTTAAGGGGCCAGAGTCGGGGGCTATTTCTATCCCAGGAAATCCCCACACCATCTGTGACCAACGACAGCCCTGGCCCCCCCTGACCAGAGCAGGGCCCGCCGGTGTTGGGGGGGGGTAGCAGGCCTCGATGCGCTGCCGCCGGGGTGTCTGCCAGTGGGGTACCGAGAACAGCGGGGTGCGGGGGTGTGGGGAGAGGTAGGCGTCCAGAGGGCGTGTGAGGAACAGAACAGGACTGGGGGCGAGGCGGGTGGGCGCAGCGGCCGCGGAACGCGCACCGAGGCCGGGGCCCCCCTGCCAGGTCGGGGGTGGGGGGAGCTCGGGGCCGTGGGTCCTGCCCCCGCCGCAGCACACCTCCCCCCCCGCCCCGCTTCGGGCCGCCGCGGCTCCCCGCCCCCACCGCCGCCGCCGCCGCCATCCCCGGCCCCGCGAGAGCCGCGCGACCGGCCGGACGGACTGACCGGACCGCAGGCGGCTCTGCGGGGCTGCGCAGGGCCCTCGCGGGGGCGGGGGCGGCCGGCTTGGCGGCTGCAACCGCTCAAACACCGCTGGGCTCGGACCATGGACTCACCGCTCGTGGGGCGCTGCAGGCCGGTGCGCACTGTGTCCGCTGCGCGGCCGCGCGGTGATGGCCGGTGCGCCAGCACCCGCACCAGCTCAGCGGCCGGCTCTGCTGGGCCTGCGCCTGCGGCTGGGGAGACGCAGCGGGGCCTTGTGACGGGGCGGGGCAGGGGCGGGGCCGGGGGCGGGGCCGGGGCCGGGGCGGGCTGGACTAGGAATGCGGGGTTTCCGCGCGGACCAAACCGCGCTCGGTTTATCTCGTGTCCCGGGTCTCAGCCCCAGCCTGGGCCCCGCAAGGCTGCCGAGGGTCGGGCTGTGGGAGCCGGGGGATTCTGGGGGCAGAGGCCTGGTGTAGCCAATTCGGCTTTCTGCTCGGGGAGTTTAGAAATTTATTCCTAAATGGAAGACTTGCTGAAGCAGCCAAGGACCCTCCCTCCCTCCTTGGCCTCAGCACACAGCGTTCAGCTCCCTTTTTCACTCAAGCCCCTCCAAAATCAGGAGTCCTGGGCATTTTCGCCCCAACTCTGCAGGGCTCAGGTTAAACCTTATCAACCGCAGGCCTGGAGGTACAGCAGGCCTGAGGCTGGGCTAACCCTCGCCTTGGCTTGCCCTCCCCACCTGGGGCCTTGGGACCCTCCTCAGGCTATAGCCTCTCCCAACCCTGAGAGATTGGGCTCAGGCTCCGCCTTGTGCCTGGGTGGTCTGGCTCCACGTGGAAGAGGGAACTCCCGGCCACGCCTTTGCACGTGGAGGTGGTGTGCTGATTTCAAGCTACCCCAGCTGGACAGCGAGTCCACAGAAAGCACTGGAACCTTAGCAGTCTGGGCGGTGGCACTGAGAGAGAGCGAGCTTCCACTTGCTGGGTCACTTTGCAAATGCAACAGCCAGGACTGGGCCGTGCCAAAGCTGGGAGCTCCTCCTGGGTCTTGCGGAGATGCCCTAGGCCCCCAGCAGTGAGGAAGGCCCTGGTGAAAACCCCGTCAATAAGAGAACCTCTCGTGACGGAGAAGCCCCAGCCAGCGGCAGTCTGCCTCGGACACCTGGCTGCGGGCTGCCATCGCGTTACAGCAGCAGAGAGAAGCCCGGCTGGCTGCTGCTCTCTTGCAGGGTATCGTGATACTTCTACCTCAGCTCGGCCCGCTGTGCGCTCCTGCTGTCTAACACCTGTGACACGGGCGGCAGGGCTGCGAGACCTGAGCCGTTACCTGCTGCCTCCCAGGGGCAACAGCAGGAAGCTGGGTGGGAAGCAGGTGGGACTCGACCCCAGGTACTCCTGGGTGTGATTCAGGAGTCCCGAGCAGCAGCCGTAGCACAGTGCTCTCCCGGACCTCAGCTCTTACCTTCAGTGACCTCGGAAGACTGACCTTGAGGGTGGGCGAGCGTGGCAGAGGTTAAGAGGTCAGGTGCAGGTGCAGATCTGGCTTGGACCAGAGTGGGGCAGCAGAGCTGGCCCTTGGCCCCCTGGAGGAGCAGCAGTGGGGCAGCGTTTCAGGTGGAGTGAAGGACGGTGGGGGATAGAAAGCAGTAGTGTAGTGAGCATAACTCTTTTTAAAAAAGATTTATTTTCCTTGAAAGAGAGAGAGAGAGAGAGAGTTTTCCCTTCACTGGTTCCCTCCCCAAATAGACACAATGCTGGGATGCCAGAAGCCAGGAGCCCAGAGTTCCATTCAGGTCTCCCACGTGGGTGGCAGAGGCCCAAGCACTTGGTCTGTCTCCCACTGCTTTTCCAGCTGTATTAGCAAAGGGCTGGATTGGAAGTGGAGCAGCTGGGACTTGAACCAGTGCTCAGATGGGATGTTTGCATTGCAGGCAGCAGCTCACCTTGCTGCACCACAGTGCCGGCCACTGGAGGGCACTCCTCTGAGGGGCTGGAAGCGAAGCAGCTGACAGCAGGGAGCTGGCTGGGGCAGAGCGTGGATTCCAAAGGCACAGCCTGGTGTGAGGCCTGGCGTGTTCATGGGCCTGTGTGCAACCCCGCGTCCCCTGGTTGAGGGGGCATAGCCGCGGCAGTGAGGTGTGTCAGCCTGGTGCCTGTCCCCTCCTGGGGTCAGCCACGACAACAGTGACAATGACAGGTAAGAGGGGATGGCTAGGTGGGTGCCCAGGCTGGAGGGGCCCGCAGTGCTGGGATACGAGCGCTCAAGGTCAAGTGTGGGAGCTGCTCGCTCAGCAGGACCCCTGTGGGTCCCTCGCAGGCGTAATGCACCTAGAGCATTTGGGAAGGCGGCCAGGAGCTGGCCTGGAGCCCCTGCCTGGCACGCTGACGCAGGCTTCTTGGGTCTAATTCAGAGGATGATTGGCCTGTTCGGGGCCACAGGGAGAAGTGAAGGGCCTGGAGCACCCCCGGAGGGTATTCCCACCCACCCTGCTGTCTGGGGGTTTCTGGGTCAGGTTGGGGGAGGGCCCTGCCAGTGAGAAAACACCTGAGCCACAGTACCCAGGCTGCAGTGCCACAGGCCTGGCCCCTCCCTCCGCCTGCCTTCATTCAGTTTCACTTTTGTTTTCCTGGTTCCAGGCCTCCAGCCCGCAAGGCAAGCAAAGAGGGCAGGCCCCGGAGCCTGACTGCAGCTGTGGTACAGGCAGGGGGAGTGCGGGTCGGGGGGATGGGGCTGCCGGGGCGGAGGGAAAGCGGCAGAGGGCCTGGGGAGGGGCACGAGGGGCGGGGCGCCGTTTCCTTCTCAGCCATCGTCCTAGGGTTGTGATGGAGGAGGTGGGGGCGGAGGCTGCCGTGGAGCTCCAAGGACTGCCCCCAGACGTGCCCGACCAGCTGCTCCTGCTCTACTTTGAGAATCGCCGCCGCTCTGGGGGGGGACCTGTGCTCAGCTGGCGGAGACTCGGCTGCGGGGGCATCCTCACCTTTCAAGAGCTCGCAGGTGAGGGGCAGGCTGAAGGGGCAGCCTGGGTACCCTGGTATCCTGACAGCTCCGACACCCTGCCCACAGATGCTGAGAGGGTCTTGGCCCAGACGGAGCATGAGCTACTCGGTGCCCAGCTCAGCCTGCGGCCAGCCCCTCCTCGTGCCCCTGCACGTCTGCTGCTTCAAGGACTGCCCCCGGACACTGCGCCCCTGCGCGTGGAACAGCACGTCCAGGCCCTGCTCCGTGCCGTGGGACACCCAGTGCAGCCCTGTCGTGCCCTGGCCAGTCCCCGGCCAGACCGGGCACTGGTCCAGCTGCCCAGGCCCCTTTCTGAGGCGGGTGAGTGCCAGGGCCGGGGCTGGGGTGCTGGCTGTGAAGTGCCCTGAGCCAACGTGCACCCTCCCACAGAAGTTGCTGTCCTGGAGCAGCAGGCCCAGCATCTGGACCTAGATGGGGCCTCCGTGTCACTGGCCCCCGTGCCCCAGGCCCGGGCAGTGCGTGTGGTGGGGGACACTCCCCCTGAGGACCAGTTGCTGCTACAGTTGTACCTGGAGAATGAGTGCCACAGTGGCGGTGGGCCCCTGGAGGGCCTGCGCAGGCTGCCCGGGCCCCTGGGCACCGTCATCTCCTTCCAGCAGTGGCAGGGTGAGTGGGATGGGCAGACCCAGCTGACTGCCCCACCCCTCCCCTGCTCCAGGAGCCCGACAGCTTCCTGTTCCCTCTGTTCCCCCAAGTGGCAGAACGGGTGTTACAGCAGGACCACTGGCTGCAAGGCTCGAAACTGGACCTCGTCCCTCACTACGACGTCCTGGAACCCGAGCAGCTTGCCGAGGACGCCAGCGCGGGGGACCGCCCGTCCGTGCCGGGACCTGGGGCCACTGAGCCTGCTCCCCTGGAAGCTGGAGAGCTGGCCGGGGACTGGAACGGTGCCGAGCCTGCGGCAGCGGGCTCTGGGAAGGCACCAGGGCAATCGGAGGCCTCTCTGAGGGCGGGTTCTGTGGGGTCTCCAGGCCCAGAGAACCCGGTGGAGACTGGTGTGGGGCTGCCAGGGCAGGAGGGGGTGGTGGAGACGGTGCTGCCCGCGGAGCCTGCGGCAGCGGGCTCTGGGAGGGCACCAGGGCAATCGGAGGCCTCTCTGAGGGCGGGTTCTGTGGGGTCTCCAGGCCCAGAGAACCCGGTGGAGACTGGTGTGGGGCTGCCAGGGCAGGAGGGGGTGGTGGAGACGGTGCTGCCCGCGGAGCCTGCGGCAGCGGGCTCTGGGAGGGCACCAGGGCAATTGGAGGCCTCTCTGAGGGCGGGTTCTGTGGGGTCTCCAGGCCCAGAGAACCCGGTGGAGACTGGTGTGGGGCTGCCAGGGCAGGAGGGGGTGGTGGAGACGGTGCTGCCCGCGGAGCCGGGCGCCGTGCGCTTCCTGCAGCTCTACCACGAGGAGCTTCTGGCCAGCCTGGGTGAGGTCGCCCTCTTCCCCCTTGAAGAGACCGACGTGACCGGCTTTCGGGTGAGTGGCCCCATCAGAATTCCTCACCTTGGCCCTTCTCCCCTGGGGCTCTGCACCCTGCCGCTGCACACTGGCCCTCCCCGGTGCCCCTGCAGCTGTGTGGAGCGCTGGCCCCCTGCCAGGCAGCTGAGGAGTTTCTGCAGAGCCTGCTGGGCACCGTCAGCTGCCACGTTCTGTGCCTGAGGCACCCGGGCAGCACCAGGTTCCTGCTGGGCCCCGAGGGGCGGCGCCTTCTTCAGCAGCTGGAGGCCCAGTTCCAGTGTGTCCTGGGGACAGAGCGACTGGCTGGGGCCGCCCCGCACCTGGACCCTGAAGAGGTGGAGATGGAGACTTGCCTCAGCCCTCCCATTTCTTACACTCTCACCAATGCCCCTGCCCTCCTCAAAGGTCTGGGACTCTGACATCCTCTCCCCTAGGTGGATCCCACCGAAGCCCTCCAGATCCTCCCTGGCCAAGTCCACACCCCGGCACCCCAAGATAGAACAGGCAGTGACCAGAATGAGAACCTGGGTAGGCTGCCCAGTGAGCCCCCGCCTAACCCGAGGCCCTCTCTTGACCCTTCCCTGTGCCCACTCTGTACTCCCGCCTGTCTCCTGGCCCTTCCCAGGGGCACCCTGTGTTCCCCAAATTCACTCTCCATCTTTCACTCATCACGCTGCATCCTGTCCCTCAGGGTCACTCTGGCTGGGCCTGATCCCTGACCCAGTGGCTTTTCTCTGTTCACAGAAGAGGTGCAAGAGCTGCTGGCCACCCTGGAGAGCCTGGACAGGGAGGAGTGGCTACCACTGGAGATGGGGGAGGAGGAGCCCGAGGAGAAGGAGCCTGTGGCCCCCAGCGCTGGAGTCCCTGGGAGGCTGGAGGAGGAGGCCGCGCTGCAGCTGGCCCTCTGTCGCTCGCTGGAACCGCAAGGCCAGCTGGTTGGGCAGGAAGAGGCTGCTGCACTGCAGAGAGCCCTGGCCATCTCCCTGTTGGAGGCAGAAGAGCCCTGTGGCAGTGGGACTGATGGCAGGGCCCAGCTGGTTGTACATGTGGCCTTCGATCAGGACGTGGAGGAACTGGGCCTGGCACTGGAGGCTGCCTTGGAGGCACAGCTCCGGGAGGAGACTGTGGGGCTGCGGGGCCGTGTGCTTCCCGTGGAGCTGTGCGCTCGCGTGGAGAAGCGCCATGATGTGAGTGTGGCTCTGTGCAGCGACTACGCTGTCCTCCGCGGCTTCGGGGCCCAGCCTGCCCGAGCGGCCCGCCACTTGGCTGCACTGCTTGCTGGCCCCTTTCCTTTGGTGGCTGCAGAGCCCACCTGTGAGTCTGCACCTTGGACTGGGAGTGGTTGGGCTGGCTATGAGGGGCTAGTGCCCAAGGCTTGGCTCTTGACCTCCTTCTCCCCATGTGTCAGTGCCAGATGAGGGGCTGCAGGGGCCCTTGGGCAGGCTGGAGGGTCTAGCAGAGAGCACCAGAGAGTTCCAGGATGTGGTGCGGGCCTTCTACGACACCTTGGATGCTGCCCACAGCAGGATTCACATCATTCGGGTGAGTGAGTCCACATCCCACATCCCTGGCCATGGCCTCCTGGGCTCTGCTATTCACACCTTACAGAGTCTGTGGGTGGTCACTGCATCTGCTGGCCAGGAGCTGCTCAGTGAGGGCAGGCTGGGCCTCCCCACGCTTGGGGCCGTGGGGAGCACCAGGCCTCTCCAATCCTGCTTCCTTCCCAGAGGGTAGTCACAGAATCTGGGTTAGGGAGACAGAGGGAATAGAAGTTAGGGGGCCTGAACAAGGCTCTGTGCTCTGCTCTGCGTGGCCCCCTCTTCACTGGCAGTTCCTTACCCGGAGCACGGGGTAGTTCTGCCACCTTGTGGCCACTGTGAGGCTTGCTTATTCCTTGCCATGCCTCAGGCAGGGCCAGTTCAGTAGGGAGAGCGCCAGAGCTCACTCAGTAGCTTCTTCTTGTGTTCTCACCACCTTTGGCAGCCCCGAGCATGGGCATGTTTCCAAAAAGGGGCTGAAAATAGCTGGTAGGAGCCAGAGAGGAGCCCCAGGAGCCCCGGGAACACCCAGACTGGGCAGGTGAAGGGAAAAGACTTGAGAAGGGACTAGGGGAGGCCATGGAAGCATGGGCACCACCATCACCGTTACCACACCATTAACACCACCACTGTCTTCAATCCCACCACTATAACCATCACCATAACAAAACCATCACCACTGTGACCACCACTACCATCAATAATACCACCACCACCATTAACACCATGGTTACCACTGCCACTGTTTTCAATGCCATTACTACAACCATCACCATCAACACCACCACCACCACCACCATCAGTACCACCACCACTGTAACCACCATAACCATCAACACCACCACCACCACCACCATTAACACCGTGACCACCACTGTAACCACCACCACCATTAACACCATGGTTACCACTGCCACTGTCTTCAATGCCATTACAACTGTCACCAGAGAAAAGGCCACGGAAGCTGTGGGGTTCTTGTCTTCATGCAGAAAGAATTCAGGCGTGAGACCGAGAGCGGGGTGATAAGGTTTTATTGGGGACAGGGCATCGTCAGAACGGAAGGGATAGAGAGAGAGCGCCTTGTCACTGGGACTGGGGAGAGCGAGGTTGGTGGTTGATGGAGAGAACACACCCGGGCAGGCCAGGCGGGGGCTCAGCAGGGAGCAGAGGGCTGAGTCTGCTTGCACTCCCTGGGTTTTTAAGGGAGTCTGTTTACCACCCCCACCACTCCCCTCTCCTCTAGGACAAAGGATGGGGTTCCTAAGCTGAAGATTAGCAAATTCCCCCCCAGATTTGCTGGCCTGGGCAGAGTGGGGGGGCTCCCCTAGGGCGTCTGAGAAGGTTTCAGGGCCCCAGGTTACCAGGTCAGGCAGCCCCTTTGGTCCTGAGGAGAGCATTCTCCTGGGAGCTGTCCCTGGGGGGAGGGCTGGGAGCACCTGGGAGGTCATCAGGGTCTGGGCAGGACTCTGAAGTGGGAGACGCGGGGCTTCTGGGGCTTCCCAGTAGGTGCTGGTCCTCAGGCCCTTCCCACATGCACAGAGGCTCAGTTTCTGACTTCCTGCCCAACATAACCATCATTATCAGCAAAACCACCACCACCACCACCAAAACAACTACCGCCATTACCATCAATACCATCACCAACATACCACCACTACCACATCAACAATACCACCACCACCACCACCACCGTAACCATAATGCCTCTGTCACCACTACCACTGTCACCATCAATAAAGCCATCATCGTAACCACCATCACCAGCAATACCACCACTGTCACCATCACAATTAACGCCTCTGTCACCACTACCAGTGTCACTGTCACCACCCTGCAGCACTGTGCTGTCTGCTGTTAATTATATGCACTTGGTTCTTTTAGCGAGCAGCTTCATGATGTTAGTTGGCACACTTGAATTTTTTTTTCCACCTTACGACTTGACACTGCTTCTTGCCTTCCTGCATGGAAGATGAGAATGGCCCTGCCTTCTTTCTCTTCACCTCCTCTTCCACTTCCATCTCACAGTTTGGTCAGGTACATTACCTGTAGCAGGTAGAGCAGGTTCCTACACACACCCTGTAGTGTCCTGTCACTACCTGGAGGCTCAGATACGCCACAGTCACGCGAAGTTTCTACCCAGAGAGAGGGAAGTGGAGTCCTAGTTATGAACACTGCTGGCCTCGGGGAGAATGTTCCAGAACCCAAGGCCCAATGGCTCTTCCTCTTTTCTCATTTTCTTCTGGGTGGGCCGTGACACCTGGGCTACTCAGTGTGCCACCTTGCGTAGGTCCTCCTGTTTAGGAGGAGTGTCCTGGCCTTTCCAGTGTGTGCATCCTGTAAGCTGGTGTGGGCGTCACACCCCTGCATGTGCCAACACGCCCCTGCCTGTCTGCACTGCTCTGCAGAGTTTCACTGGATGCAGTGTTTAGGTTCAAAATGTTTTCCTTCCTATTTTTGAAGATACTGCTCTTTGTCTTTTATTAAAAAAAAAAAGATGTATTTATTTATTTGAGATGCAAAGCTATGGAGAGAGGGAAAGATAAAGAAATCTTCCAACTATTGGTTCACTCCACAAATGGCTACAACATCTGAGAATAGCCCAGGTGGAAGCCGGGAGCCTGGAGCTCCATCCAGGTCGCTCACGTGGCTGGAGGGCAGCAAGTACTCGGTCCACCTCCTGCTGCTTTCCTGGGCGTATTCGTGGGGAGCTGGATGGGAAGTGGAGTAGCTGGGACTAGAACTGGCACTCATATGGGATGCTGGTGTCACCGGCTGCTGTTTAGCCTGCAAAACCACAATAATGGCCATGTTATTTTTTCTTAAAAACTATTTTGGGGGCCAGTGTCGTGTAGGTTGAGCTGCCGCCTGTGACACCAGCATTCCATATGAGCCTCAGTTTGAGTCCTGGCTGCTCCACTTCCTATCCAGCTCCCTGGTAATGCATCGGAGAAAGCAGTGGAGGATGGCCTGGGTGCCTGGGTCCCTGCTACCCACATGGTGACGTGGATGGAGCTCCTGGGTCCCTGCTACCCACATGGTGACGTGGAGGGAGCTCCTGGGTCCCTGCTACCCACATGGTGACGTGGAGGGAGCTCCTGGGTCCCTGCTACCCACATGGTGACGTGGAGGGAGCTCCTGGGTCCTGGCTTTGGTCTGGAACAGATCTGGTGTTGCACCTGTTTGAAGAGTGAACCAGTGGATGGAGCATCTCTCTCTCTCTCTGTGTAACTCTGCCTTTCAAATACATAAATAAATTTTAAAAAAACAAACAAACCTTTTTTTGGGGAAAGTTAAAAGAAAATCTCTCCATGTTTTCAGCATTCCATGTTGGTGGTTGGAAACCCAGTGTTGTGCATTGACCTTGTATGTGTATTCATGCGTGTATATGTGAATGTGCACATGTGTGTATGCGTGTGCAGTAAGTGTATACGCATATGTGTATGCACATATAAATTGTATGTATGCATGTGAAGATGTATGTGTGTATATGAGTATTGCATGTGTTAGTATGCATATACATGTTATGTATATGCATGTGTGTATTGTGTTTGCATTATTGTACATGCATTGTGTGCATTTATGTGAGTGCATGCATATATGTATTTATCTGTATATGTGCATATGTATATATGTGCATGGATGTGTGCATTGCATGGATGTATGTGTGCATGTATGCATTTGTGTGTATATGTACATGTGTGAGTGCATGTTTATGTGTGTGCATGTGTATATATGTATGTGTGTATATGTGTGCATTGCATGGATGTATGTGTGCATGTATGCATTTGTGTATATGTACATGTGCATGTGTGAGTGCATGTTTATGCGTGTGCATGTGTATATATGTATGTGTGTATATGTGTGTATGCATTTATGTGTGCATATATGTATGTGTATATGTGCATGTGCATGTGTATGCAAATGTGTACATGTGCGTGTCCTCAGAGGGTTTCTCTCACTTTGGAGGTGCAGGTCTCCCTAGCAGGTGGTCCCACTGTCTCCCTAGCAGGTGGTCCCACTATCTCCCTAGCAGGTGGTCCCACTGTCTCCCTAGCAGGTGCACCCACTGTCTCCCTAGCAGGTGGTCCCACTGTCTCCCTAGCAGGTGCACCCACTGTCTCCCTAGCAGGTGGTCCCACTGTCTCCCTAGCAGGTGCACCCACTGTCTCCCTAGCAGGTGCACCCACTGTCTCCCTAGCAGGTGGTCCCACTGTCTCCCTAGCAGGTGCACCCACTGTCTCCCTAGCAGGTGCACCCACTGTCTCCCTAGCAGGTGGTCCCACTGTCTCCCTAGCAGGTGCACCCACTGTCTCCCTAGCAGGTGCACCCACTGTATCCCTAGCAGGTGCACCCACTGTCTCCCTAGCAGGTGGTCCCACTGTCTCCCTAGCAGGTGCACCCACTGTCTTCCTAGCAGGTGCACCCACTGTCTCCCTAGCAGGTGGTCCCACTGTCTCCCTAGCAGGTGCACCCACTGTCTCCCTAGCAGGTGGTCCCACTGTCTCCCTAGCAGGTGCACCCACTGTCTCCCTAGCAGGTGCACCCACTGTCTCCCTAGCAGGTGCACCCACTGTCTTCCTAGCAGGTGCACCCACTGTCTCCCTAGCAGGTGGTCCCACTGTCTCCCTAGCAGGTGCACCCACTGTCTCCCTAGCAGGTGGTCCCATGTTGCCGCAGGCATGTCACAGATGCTCTCCTGGGGCCGCTGGGCCTCCCCTCTGTGTCCTCTCACGCTCCAGCCCCTGCCTGGGCTCCACACCTCCTCCGGTGCCCTCCGTCTCTCCGTGGCTCTGACTCCAGCCCGCACCAGCTCACTGGGTTTGGTGGGCAAGGCCCCTTAACCCAAGTACCTCTTTCCCTGTGGTTCCTGTCTCAGCCAGCCTGGCTCTGTGCCTTTGGGCCTCTCTGCCTTCCTCTGAAGGCACGAATTAGGACGGCTTCAGAACCCGAGGTGGCTCTGGGGCAGTTATCGGGTGGCTCTGCCTCTCCGGCCCTGGCCGGGCCTTGGAGCCCAGAGCTCTCCGAGCGTGGGGAGAGGCAGAGGCTGTGAAGTCCTGGGGCTCAGGGTTTCTCTGCAGAGGGCCTGGCTGCGGGCTGTGGGGTCTCCCTGGAGGAAGCCAGGCCTCTGTAGAAGCCCTCCTGTGTCACCGGGTGTCCCGTGGGGGTGGCAAGTCCCGCGGTGGACGGAGAACCGGGGGTGGGGTGCGGTGGGAGCTGCAAGGTCTCGCCCAGACCCTGAAGCCCTCCGTGGGAGGGGTCCTGACCGCCAGGCTGTGTCCAGGGCCGCAGGGCCTCCCAGAGCCTGCCTGACCGCCCCGCAGGTGGAGCGCGTGTGGAACCCGCTGCTGCAGCGGCAGTACGAGCTGCAGCGTGAGCGCCTGGAGCAGCGCTGCGCGCGGCGCCCGGCCGAGCGGGTCCTGTACCACGGCACCTCGGCGTCCGCCGTGCGGGACATCTGCGCGCACGGCTTCAACCGGAGTTTCTGCGGCCGCAACGGTGAGGCCTGAGCGGGGCGGCGGGCGGCGGGGTGGGGAGGTGGGCGCCGGGCTCCCCCGCCTGACCGCGCCCGCCCCTCCCGCCCCGCAGGCACGCTCTACGGGCAGGGCGTGTACTTCGCCCAGCACGCCTCCCTGTCGGTGCAGGACCGGTACTCGCCCCCCGACGCCGACGGCCACAAGGCGGTGTTCGTGGCGCGGGTGCTGACCGGCGACTACGGGCTGGGCCACAGCAGCCTGCGGGCGCCGCCCCCGCGAGCCTCGGGCCACGCGCTGCTGCGCTACGACAGCGCGGTGGACTGCCTCCGCCAGCCCAGCATCTTCGTCATCTTCCACGACACGCAGGCGCTGCCCACGCACCTCATCACCTGCAGGCGCGCGTCCCCGGCGTCCCCCGGGGCCCCCCTGGGGCTCCTGGACAGCTCCCCGGCCACCTGACCCCAGAGGCGGCTTTCTGGCCTGCTGCTCCCCAGGCTCCCTCCCCCGGGGACACCCCGCCTCCTGCGGCGAGCGCGCAGGGCCGAGGCCCCCTCCCGGTCTGGGCGGGTCCGGCCAGCAGAGGTCAGCAGTGTGCGGGAGGCGGGCGGGCCGGGCGGGTGGGGGGACCTCGCCCGAGCGCGGCTGTGACGTGTGTGAATAAACCTGTGCGTGAAACCAGGCGGAAGGAAGGGCCGGCCGGCGTGGCATCCGACCTCTGCGGCGGCCAGGGCACGGGCGTGCGGGGCGGGACCCCGCCCGGGAGCCACGCACGCTCGCCGCCACCGTGTCCCCTGACCAACCGACCCACCCCGGCCGTAGGTGTGCGTGCGGCCCCGCGCACACGCGCGCGCGGATCGCGCGGGCACAGCTTGCTCTCGGCGGAGGGGCGCGCACGGCCCTCGCTGGGGGCCGGGGCGGGGCTATGGGCTGACCCCGCCCGCGCTGCCTCCGCGGAGCTCCTGGCCCGAGCGGTGAGGCTGCGGCGACCGAGCTTCGGCGAGCGGGGCCACCAGGCACGTAGGGCCGGACTGGGGGCGAGGGGCGCGGGGCGCGCGGGGGTTGCGAAGTGGGCTTGAGTGGGGTTCGGCCGCAGGCGACCCGGAACTCGCGGCTGCGGCGTGGCCCGCCCGCGGGAGACTGCGGAACTGGACGGGCGGTGCCTGGGATGTGGGTTGTCGGAGGCGCGGTTCGGGGCTGGGGCTGGGGCTGGGGCGGGGGTGGGGCGGGGGCGGGGCGGGAGGCCCCCGGCTCGGCGCCCGCCGTCTCCTCCCCAGCCCTGGGGCCGAGGGCGGAGGCACAGAGCCCACATTGTACCCCCACGGCTCTCCACCCCCGCCGAGACAGAGCCCCATTCACCTCCAGCACGCCAGGCCTCTCGGGGAGTGGGCACGCGTGGGCTGCGTGCGGGAGGAGCCGCGGGTGGGCTGCCCCGGCCTTGCTGCAGCCGAGCTCCCACGCCGCTGCGGGCCCGGCTATTTATAGGGCTCCACTGCGGAGCCCGAGGTGGGGCTGCGTGGGTCTGGAGGAGCGGCGGAGCGGTGGCGGGACCCAGGCGGCGTGGGGCTGGGGCGCTGGGGGGCCGGGGCTTGTCTGCAGCTTCACCTGCTTCCGGACCGGAGGAGGGGCGTCCCGGTTTGGGGTGCAGACGGAGGGCGCGCGTGACAGGGAGCAAGTGAGGGTAATCGGGGTCGTGTTTCGGGTGGGCTCCTGGGCCGGGGAGGGGGGCGACTGTGTGTGGTCAGGGCTGGTGATGCCCTTGGAGGGGGTGAGGTCAGCGCCCGAGGGGCCACTTTGGGTGTCTGCTGGGTGGGCTGGGGGAGAAGGCTGTCCACGCCTGGGTTGAGAACAGGGACAGGTGTAGGAGGGGCGTGCGTCCAGGCGATGAGGATGGGACGGGGCCAGCGTGCGGTACCGGCAGTGACCACCCCTCCCCCCCCAGGAGGCATGTCGGCCGAGGACTCCGAGGTGCGGCCAGCGGCCGAAGACAGCTCGGGCGGAGGCAGCGGCTCGCCCAGCCCTGGGGACACACTGCCCTGGAACCTTGGGAAGACGCAGCGGAGCCGGAGAAGCGGAGGCGGCTCTGGGGGCAACGGGAGCGTCCTGGACCCTGCGGAGCGAGCGGTCATCCGCATTGCAGGTAATGTGGCCGTGCGAGCTGCCCGCGCACACTCGGGCCGGCGGAGCGCTTGTGGTGTGCGTGTGCGGGTCCCCGCGGCCGGCCGGTCGGGGAGCGCCTCTCCGGGGTGCAGGTGCGGGCCGACGGCGCAGCGCCACCTGCTGGTCCTGTCGGGCGGCCGCGTGAGGCGCCGGGGATGGGCTTCTGCCTCTCCGGCTGCCGCCGCTGGCTTCATGGCGAGGGTCCAGCGCCCCGACGCCCAGTGGTAGCTTCTTGGGCTCCGGGGACAGAGCTCAGGAAGCCCTGTGGTCTCAGTTCATGGGAACAGGACAGGAGGAGGTGCCCAGGTGTCCAGAGCCCCAGCTCCTCCCTTAGCCGGGGTCTGGCCTTGCCCCCCACTCCCTGTCGTTGCCAAAAAGGGGTGGGGGAGGTGGGTCTGGCCCAGCGGGAGGCCCAGGAGAGGGGCCTGGCAGCGGACGATGGCCCTTTGGAAAGCGGCCACCTCGGGTGCTTTTGCCGGCTGTGCCAGGAAAGAGGCAGTTGAGGGTCTCCTGGCTCAGGCTGCAGGACCCCCGGCCGGCAGTAGGAGGTGTCCGCAGGGCAGCGTGGGCCCCTGCGGGAGGCCGGGGGTGCACGGAGCCTGCGGGCTGGGAACTGTGCTGGCGGCGGCCCAGCTGGGAGTGGAGTGTAGGTGCCTCCAACGCACCCCACCCCGGGCGGTCACGACCACTGCGGCCGGCCCCCAGGGAGGGGGTCCTGTGCGTCCACCCACGTTCCCGGGCCTGGGACCCTCGCGGCGGCGTAGGGACCTCCCGCGGGCGCCGGGCGGGACACGGGACTCCGCCGGTCTCAGCAGGGAAAGCAAGGCGTCTCCCTTCTTGGGGAAGCTGCCCGCTCCGGCGCTCGCGGGTGGTTTTTGGATACTGACGACACCCATCAGCGCGGCCAGGAAGGGAGACGCCCACCAGCAGCGGCGGCCGACGGAGCGAGGGAGGGAGCGGGGAGGGGGCGCGCCTGGCGGCCAGGTGAGGGCGCTCCGGCAGGGGCGCTCCGGGGTCTTGGGGCGACCCGGGCCGGAGCGGGCGCGCGTGGGACGGAGCCCCGCAGCGCCCTGAGCCGCCGGGGCCGGGCCCCGCCCCGGCCCGTGGGGCATCCTGGGTGCGCGGGCGGTGCGGGGGCGGGGCGCGGGCGGCCTCTTTAAGCGGCGCGCGCGGCCGCGGGGACAGAGCGGCCGAAGGGGGCTGGCGGCTCGCTCTGCGCCTCCACGCCGCGTCCCGCGCCGCCGGCATGGCCGCGCCGCCGCCGGACACGCAGCCGGACGAGCAGGACTTCATCCAGGCCTACGAGGAGGTGCGGGAGAAGTACAAAGGTACGGGCGCCCCGCTGTCCGTCCAGGACGCGCCGGGTCGCGGAGCCCGACAGCCTGGCGGCTGACCACCGTGTCCGCGGTGGCCGTCCTGGTCGCCACCCACACCGAGCCCCGCCACCCTGCCGGCCGTCCCGGCGTGGCGCGGCCCCCGCGGCCCCCGCTGGTGCCCGGGCAAGGGGCAGGCGCGCTCCGCTGAGCCCCCGCGGCCATGCCCTTAATAGGACATCGTGCGGCGCAGGTGGGCGGGGTGGGGGTGGGGGCGCACCGCTTGTCCCGGTCGGAGCCAGGGTCCCTGGGTGTGCCCAGCAGCCATGTGGGTCAGGGCCGAGCCTCCGCTGTCCCTCCTCCGGGTGGCTGCAGCTGCCTGGCAGTGGGTGGCATAGTTGCCGCCTCTCCTCACCTCCCGAAAGTGGCCAGAGCCGGGTTGCCACCATTCCTTGGCAGGGACCCTCATGGGACGCCTCGCCGGTTCCCTGGGGGCACAGATGTGGGTGAGGAGAGCAGGGGAGCCCCCTCCTCGCCCCTCCTCCCCCTCTCCAGCCTGGGAAGCGCTGGCCCCCTGCCCTCCTCCATGCCTTCCCGGAGCCCCTGGGGCTGCCAGTGTCCTTGCCACTGTCACCATCAGCCACTTGCTCTGGGCTGGGCCAGCTCTGAGCAGGCATGGGGACAGCCCTGGCTCCTGGCCGGCGGAGGCTTAGAGGCCTGGGGAGGGTCGAGGTGGGGCCCGGCAGAGGCGGCCAGGGCAGGTTCCAGCTCCAGGCGCTGGCTTTGCTGGCTCTGCCCCCAAGGGCAGCTCAGGGAGAGAGGTCCTGCTCGGGCCCTGCCTGAGCCTCCCAGGCAGGGTTGATTTCGCCACGCCTGGGGCTCCACTCTCTGGACAGCTGTGCCGGGCAGGGTGGACGTGCTGTGTGCCTGACCCTTAGCCTGTCTGCCTGTGGGACCACTGCGCCCTCGGGGAAGCCTTGCGGGCCCACCTGGACAGGTGCAGGGCAGGGAAGGGGCTGCCTGCCCGGGCCACAGCCTTCCCGCAGGCCTCGGGGGAACTGGTGTGAGCCCGCTGCTCTGTTGACAGGGAGACCTGGGCAGAGTGGTCCTTCTTCCGGGGTTCTCCTTGGCGGGGTCGGTGGCTAGGCATTGTGCTGAAGCCACCCTGGCCCTGGAGCTCTCCCCTGTTGGCCGAGGTGCGAGTCTGACAGGCCCCCCGAGGGCTCCCGGGGGCCACTGTGGCCCCTGTCTGCCTTCTGGGCTTGGCGGGGAGGTTGATGAGGGGCGCGGGGCCCCGATGCGGCTCCGGCCTGCAGCTGCCTGTGTGTGTGTGTCTCTGGCACTGGTGGGAGAGCGGCTGAGCAGGGGCAGCAGGTCGGGAGGGCCTCTGGGGTGCCAGACACCCGGAGTCTCCTGGGGTCCTGCTAGGGGCTAGGCTGGCACCTGTGGCCAGGAGCCACAGCCCAGGCGGAGGACTGGCCTGGGGAGGCCCCAGGTGGCCCCGTGCCCCTCACCCCTTTTCCAGGCTTGAGCTCTGTGACCTGCTTAGACCTGCTAGAGGGCTGGGGTGGAGGGGCTAGTGGGGCAATGGGGAAGGGGTGGGGGGAGGGGCTGTGTCCAGTGAGGGAAGGCAAGGGCGTGGCACCTGATGTCCTGTCCCAGTGAGTGGCTGGGAGACAGCTGGAAGGGGAGGTGGGAGTGCCCCCATGTTGGGCCCACCTCAGTGCTAAGGGCTCCCGGAAGGGAGGGAGGCAGGCCCAGGACCCCTGCCCACCTGCCACCAAACTGAGGAGGGGTGGTCTCTGTCTGATGGCCGCCACGCCCCTGTGGCACTTGCCCCCAGCCCCACCCCACAACAGAGACATGGCCTTCCCTGTGTAGCCCCCAGGGATCTCCCCCCCACCAGAGACATGGCTTTCCCTGTGTAGCCCCCAGGGATCTCCCCCACAACAGAGACATGGCCTTCCCTGTGTAGCCCCCAGGGACCTCCCCCCCACCAGAGACATGGCCTTCCCTGTGTAGCCCCCAGGGACCTCCCCCCCACCAGAGACATGGCCTTCCCTGTGTAGCCCCCAGGGATCTCCCCCCCAACAGAGACATGGCCTTCCCTGTGTAGCCCCCAGGGACCTCCCCCCCACCAGAGACATGGCCTTCCCTGTGTAGCCCCCAGGGACCTCCCCCCCACCAGAGACATGGCCTTCCCTGTGT